AAAATGATCAATACTTTAGGGATCAGACATCGCAACAGAGAAAGAGGGAGAGAGTGAGAGAATGTGAGAGAGAGAGAGAGAGAGAGAGAGAGAGAAATTGCTAACAATTTTCTGGTTTTGGGCTTCAAATGCTTGAATACAGTAAAGTATTGCTAACACAACAAAACAAAAAAGTTTTAAAAACTACTACTCTATGGAAAAGTGTTTGATTTGTGAAGGACTTCGAAACCCACACCAGAAGAACCTTCAATACCGACGACACATATATATATAATAGTTATATATATTGTAAAACAAGTCATAAGTAATTTTTTGCTAAAATAAAATGCAATCAAATGATTCACTAAAACATGTGAATTGGGTTTGAGTTTTGAAATTCATTTTTCTTCTTGTTTTTTGTATTATCTCTCAAATGCTTAACAAAAATGAAGAAAAATGTGAAAATTATTTATTTTGATTGAGAAGTCTTTTTAACGTTTAGATCAATGATTAAGGATAGGCTCTCTCGCTCTCCCTTCTCTCTCTCTCTCTCTCTCTCTGGCTGTGGGCCCCCTGTGAGCCCCCCTCACATCTCTATAGCCTTGGGTATGGGAGTAGTATTGGTTGCGATGCTCTGCCAGTGACGATGTGTGCCCTGGAAAAGAGCCCATCCATCCCATCCCCGGACCACTCTATCATCCAATGTATTATCCAATGCTATCCCCAGTAAAGCATACAATTCATACAATACTACAGTATAGCCCATAGTATTAACAGTTATGGCTTTGACAGCACTGTATGTATAATACAATACAGAAGAGTATTGTTAGAGGACTTGAAGTACAGTTTACGCCAAAAGAGAGCTCACAATTCAAGTATGAATTCAATTCAATCCATAGACAACACACACCAGTCGTAAGGGCCTAACAGTGGGGGCTCTGGTGTGCGTGAGTTAGGCCTGTATTGCACTCAACCAATGGTCGGGTTTGGCTGTGTTGTTGAGGTATAGCGAGAGGTCACGTATGGCTCTCGTTATATGAGACGTCTATTTCGATCATAACTCGTATTCAACGTAAACATGCATTTATTGCTCACAAATATAACTAATATCGCACACAGTTTTGACGATTCAATTTGTGAATCAATTATATCTCCACTGATAGCAGAGATGATGTTTTATTGAGACAAATGTAGAGTCCGTACAGTGTATGCGGTGTTGACTGCAACTGCACTTAACTATTGAAAGGCGACTCGAAATTGATGTGTAAATGCATTGAAGCTCTACTATTGTACTGTCGAATAGCAGTTATAGCATTGCGGGGCATTCACATACACTGTTACATTCGGCTGTGGGTGGGTTAGCGGTTAAGGGGCGGCTGGAGTGGAGGGTTTGCTGTATAGATACATAACGCGAGATAAAGGGATTGGGGCTTTGGCTGAGCGGTTGTCCGGGGAGTCTGTGTGGGTAACGGAGTGCTTGACGGGCGCAACACTGGTGGCTATGTTGCTATGCTGTCTACTATTGGCGGACAGCTGTTAGTGTGTGGCTGTGATTGGCTGTGGGATTGGGTATAGCATTGCGTTTAAAGTGCAACAAATATAAAGTGTTTTGTTCATTAGGGCTCACATCAGCTGAAGTGAACATCGGATACAACACAACAACAGAGCAAAGCATAGACCAGTAGTTGTGCTCATTATCGACACATCCATTCAAATCCAATACAATTTACTATTGAATCAATGAATCAATGAATGGATGATTAGTTTATTATTATATTAATTGCAATCATATGTTATTATTGAACGAGTGATACATTTGTCAGTGTTTTTGTCGGTTTGTAATTGCAATCCAAAGCCAATCCATTCAATGAATGAGAGTTTAGTTATGACTAAAAACTACTTCATTGACGACTACTTTGAATCTCACTCGAAATCAATGCTCTTAACCAACAATAATAATAATACCATTAATTGTCAAAACAATTTCAACAAATGTGTCACAAAATTGGGTGATATTGTGGTGAAGAGCGGACACCACAGGTCCGGCCAAACGGGCGCAGCGGTCGGCGCACAGCCCTTGGCAGCCGTTAACGGACCGCGAAGTGATGGCCCGACCGGTGGGGGACGACATCGAGTCAGACACTACTCTCAGCAACAATTGGCCAACAATTGGATTAACCAGACGTTGAATCGATCGGTCAAACCGAAGAAAGACATCGACGGTATGTATCGATTTTGCTCAGTCTCTCTCTCCCTCTCTCTGTCTGTCAAATCAATACGCGATTTGTCTGTTTCTGAGGCCATAATACGATCGCGCAATCCATACAATCCATGTGTATGTGTTTGCAGTGACTTTCTTAGTGTTGACGATGGCATGCATTGTGAGCCGATCCCCAACTCCCGCACCCGTGAGGCCACCGGCTATGAGTCTATGAGAGCCCACTATATGCCGAAAAGGCTGAACCAAAGCCTCAATAATAAGCACACGATTGAGAAGTAGTAGTGTTTGAGGAAAACTACAGTAATTATTGTTTTTTAACCCAAAAAACTGTTTTATTTTTCAAGTATTGAATCAATTAAATCAATAGCGAAGTGAAAACTGGATTTGAATCTCTCTCTCTCTCTCTCTCTCTCTCTCTCCTCATTTATTGTAATCTTCAATACATGGGCACCGGTATAGACATTGGGCGCACAGCAGCTGCTGTGACTTCGCCAGTGAGCCACTCAACAGGACGTGATTCTTATACCTTCTCTCTCTTTCTCTCTCCCATTGCCCAACACCTGGCACTCTCTCGCCGGCTCTCTCTCTCTCTCTCTCTCTCTCTCATGGGGTTATATTCATAAACAGTGTGTTTAATGACAACGAATGGAGAGGAAATAAATGTGTGGATAATAAATAAAATACATGTCCGATATATACCTGATCTCCTCTCTCTCTCTCTCTCTCTCGTGAAAAGCAGTCAATTGTTTTCTCGATTCAATTGAAATCAATTAGTTTTTTGTTCATTTCTTCACTCATTGATTGAGAATTTTCTCTTAAATTTCAATTCAATTGTCAACTCAATTGTTAAGTGTGTTTCTCAATGCATATATTATAAGTATATATTGAGTGCTGTATTAATGAATAAATGTATTTTTACTTTAATTATAAGGTAATTACTGATTAGCCAATCGCTGGTGTGTGTAGTGTTTCGCGAGTGTATTATATATCGGATTTACAATGAATGGGAAAAAAGTGATTTTGACATAAATTTTTTAGCAATCAATTGGTGTTTAAAATGTTTATTATTTTGTTGTTGTATTTGAAATGCATTTATCATTCATATAGTTATCAATTGAGAGTTTAATGTTAAACGTAACGACAATTTGAAATGTTTGAAACAGTTAACCACTGGTAGTGTGTATTTGAGGCCCGACTTGAATATCATTTGTCATTTTGTATAAGACTTGAGATGTTGTGAACAGAATTGCATTTCTTTGCACTCAATATAAATGTATAGCCGTTTCGACACTCGAATACACTGTATATTAGATATGGCCTTAATTTGAGTCAAATGGACTCTTTTATGCCAACGATTGAGTAATTTGTATATAATTGTTGATTAATTTTGCATAACATATAACAAGCATTTGTATTAATAATACCCCCTATTGTTCTGGTGAGGGGCACCTCTAATGGCAGTTACCTAATGAACCGATACTATAAAAAGTCAATTTTCACTCAATTTTCTGCTTCACAAATCCAAATGACTTTTGTTTCACATATTATATCATATTATTATACATATATTTGTCGCCCAAAAAAGTTCCCCAACTTTTTTAAAAGAGTATTTCACCCGAAAAGTCGGTTTTTAAGTATAATATATTTTGTGTTAGTTTTTAAATCAATTATTTTTTGCTGTTTCGTATGTTTTTTGTTGAAATAATTTGTATTTTTAATATTATTATAGTTTTAAGTTTTTCTGAGCCATAATTTAAAGCAATTTTTAAATAAAAATTTTATTAGTTGTGTTTTAATGCACTTTTTATGATGATATGTGTTGTCAATGTATCTCTGGGTTTGGGCCATAAAATTGATTTGTGTTGTCTTATCGGCCAATAAATAGATTTATAATTTTCTTTTGTTTTCGCATCTCTTATGTAAGGAATAAATAATGATTTGATTGTTGTATAGAAATGTATGAAAGCATTGTATGAATGCAAATAAGTTAGTGAATTAAAGCGAGCGTCCGCTTAAAAAACAATCGGATTTAGTGGTGGGGATAATAATAGCATATATTATATACGTGGGGGTTATGTGTGTATACCTGTATACAGTATACTGGCTAATGAAAGGGCTGGTGAGGGGGAGGGGGTTGTGGGGAATGGTAGGGCTGGTCAGCGCACAACTCCACAATGAAGTGCACGTAATTGTGTAGCCGTTGTGTATGTGTTTCGATGCGAATACACATAATATTCAGAAATAGCTCAACACTTATCCCACTTTAATAACACTACGGCTCTGTTCAGGTGTAGTCCTATTATAAAATAACATTAAATTTCCAGTTTTTTAGAGTTGAGATACCAGTTCTCTCTCTCTCTCTCTCTCTCTCTCTCTCATACTGTTATCTGTTTTGATTTTTCTTAAAACAACATTTTATAATATATGATAACAAAGTTTATTTAAATATATAATCATAATATTAAATTGAATTATTGTGTTATAATGTTTAATTAAATAAATCATTGTTTAAATTGATTTTATATAATTATAAAATACAAATATCATTTTAATCAAATTGATGAAAATCATAGTTTTGTTATATTGTTATAATAATTAAGTTATTATTAATTAATTTAGCATCTTTATTTAGGATAACATGCATTAGTTGAAAAGTTTATAAAATTTATTTACTTTTTAAATAATAATTTAATAAGTATTATTAATAACTTATGACCTTAGTAAAATTATTATATGAGAGTAACTTAAATTTGGACAAAATTTTATCTTACAAATTATTGATTTGTCCACAAAATAATATCAAACCATTGGTTTTATCCATAATAAAGTACATGAAGGGGTGATCGACTCTAAATGTAATAGTTTTTGAATAATGTGTTGCCGATAAATTGGTCATTTCTATGGCTGTGACGGCCGCGGCTTCGGTTCCCTTTTCGTCCACTGATATATAAGTCTTGTGTATAATTTCGGCCACTTTTTGATCAAAATCTCGATTCAGACGTGAATAGTTTGCCCCAAATGTCAGTGCTATTGGTTTGGGATTAATCTCTTTCATTAAGTCATAAGTCTTTTCGACTTTAAATTTAGGCAAATATAACTTCACTTCTCCGGAGAAATGTAAAGAATTTACGGCTTGTCTTAGATTTTGTGAATTAATCTTTGATTTCAATTCTTGTAAACCATTTCGTAGTTTTGGTAAAACAATAATAAAACTGATTTCTCTTCCCTCGTATTGTAATTCTAAAACTTCTGAATTTAGTTCACTTGACTCATAATAATAGAATACTTTCTTCACAAACATTATGTCCACTTTTATGGCATAATTTCCATTGTTATAAAAATCCAATTTTTGAGTCGACTCTTCCCAGAACTTCTCTGACCAATAGCCTATGAACACAATTAGTTTAAAATAATGTTTTAATAGTTTATTTGAAATTTTTTATCATCATGAATAGAAATTAACAATTAATGTTACAAACATTAATTCTAAAACACATTCAGAATATTTTTTGTAGTGTTTTAGTATTGAAACTAGTGTATAATTAAATAATTACCTTTAAAATATATGGCATTCAAAATGATAAGTGAAGTATCGGGTTTTATTTCATCAAATATTTTCTGTATCTTATTATTGGTTTTATTACGAATCCATTCATTCACTCTTTCCGTCTCTATTACTCCATTGTTGACAAAATCAGCCGATTGTATGTCTCCCTTATAATACACTTTTGTAGTATTGAGAAAAGTGTCCAATAGTTGCAGATCTTTGCTGTGAATGACTTTATTTGCAATATTTAATTGATGTTTGTAATTCTTCGGGTCATACCATTCATAATCTGATAATAAACCTGGTAGTGTCTCTTCATCTGTACGATTTTTTTCTGTACCATCAGTTTCAACACTACCTTGAAATAACATTTAATCATTTAATAGTATAAACTAATCGGATATTTTTATAATATAAACTTGGTATTACTTTGATTATAATATTTATTGTTTAAAACTTCAAATCCTCTGTTAATGGTTTCATCGCTCACTTCTTTAGACAAATTTTTGTATCGAAGGAATTGTTTCAAATCATTTAGTGTTTCACCGTTTGCTCCATTCATAAGAATACCTATAATTAATAAATTATTATTTAAACATAAAATTATTATTTTACTCTTAACTCATCGCCGATAGTATTGAAATGGGAGACAATATATCATTTTTATTTTTTGATAATATATTAAACATTTTAAACCCAAATTCATTGTTTGTCTTCACTATAAACTCTTCCGGGGTTTTAAATGTGGCCAAATTATTTGAACCGATATCTGTCTGATTAAACCGCAATAATATCGTTAGTAACAATGATGGTAACATTTTGTAAACCATTTTAACAAATATTTTTGTTATAGATTTATAAAATACACTTGATTAAAGATATATCTAAATAAAATTTACTGCAGCGATTGGACTCTAATAGTTATCTGAATAATATTTACTAAAATGAGTCGCAAATTTCATATTAATATGCTTATATAATATGATTATACAATATGATAAATATTGTAATTTATAAATGTATATATTTTAATTGTAACAAAATCATAATTTAAAGTAAATTATTGCTTAATATAATTTATTAAATATATCAATCTTAATAAATTAAAATTGATTAATGTTAACGTACAAGTCGACTAATAGTTTGTGGTTATTAATATAATAATATAAAATTAATATTATGTCGCATTAATTTAAGTTGTATTTAATAAAGTATAATTATTATATTTTATATTATGTAATGTAATTTTGTCATACAATTTGTAACTTTGTATTATTAATATATTTTATATTATAGTAGATTTAGGGATTCTTAGAACGAACATTGTTTGGTTAAAACAATATATTTCATAGCATTTATTGACAATTTTTAAGTAAAGAATTTTCAATATAAGAGACATTTCTTATTAACATTTTAATATTAAATTGATTGACATGAAAGTCTAATTCATAACGCGATTAAAATTGAGTTATTTATAATTATAAAACAATGTTTGAATTGAAGTATCGCATTACTATTATTATAAAACATTAGTGTAATTCTTATATAATTAACATAATGTATTATTCACTTCAATAGAATCTATAACAAAAATCTTAACGCCTTAAATATATTCTAATTCTTTCAACGTAAAAATATTAAATACAGTTATACAATAATAATCTTGGTTGTGTTATAAAATAAAACAATATAGTTGAAAAGAATAATCATTTTAAAAATTATTTATTTGTCCGCAGAATAGTATTAATCCATTGGTTTTATCCATAATAAAGTACATGAAGGGGTGATCGGCTCTAAATGTGATTGGATTGGGATATTCAATGGCCGATAATCTAGTGGCTGTTATGGCAGTGACGGTCGCGGCTTCGGTTCCCGACTCATCCACTGATATATAAGTTTTGTGTATAATTTCGGCCACTTTTTGACCCAAACCTCGATTTAGTCGCGAGAGATCAGCCCTATCTGTTAGTGCTATGGGTTTGGGATTGATTTCATTCATTAAATCATAGGATTTTTCAGTTTTAAATTTAGGCAAATATATTTTCACATAATTATCGCTTAACGAATTTATGGCTTGTTTAAGATTATGTGAATTAATTTTTGCTTTTAATTCTTGTAAACCATTTCGTAGTTTTGGTAAAACAATAATAAAACTGATTTCTCTTCCATCGTATTGTAACTCTAAAATCTGTGAATTCAATTCAATTGACTCGTAATAATTGAAATAATATTCCACAAACATTGTGTCCATTTTTATGGCATTATTCCCGTTGTTATAAAAGTCCAATTCTTGCGTCCATTGTTTTCTGAATTTCTTCGACCAATTGCCTATTAATAACACTGATTCAAAAATTTGATACATTTTAAAAATAAAAAATACCTTTAAAATATATGGCATTCAAAATGATGAGTGAAGTGTCGGGTTTTATTTCATCAAATATTTTCTGTATCTTATTATTGGTTTTATTACGAATCCATTCATTCACTCTTTCCGTCTCTATTACCCCATTATTGACAAAATCAGCCGATTGTATGTCTCCCTTATAATACACTTTTATAGTATCAATGAAAGTGTCCAATAGTTTCAGATCTTTGTTGTGAATAACTTTATTTGCAATATTAAGTTGGTATCTATAATTGTTTATATCATATATTTCATATGGATTTTGATTTGATTTATTGGTTTTCACTTTGAAAATATTTAAATGGAAATAATAATTAAAGAACGTATGAACAAAATAATACTCTTAATTATAATATTATCTGTAAGCTTACCATCATTATGATATTTATTATTTAATGCTTTGAAAGCAGTATTAATGGTCTCATCACTGAATTCTGTCAATGAATTCTTGTAACGAAGGAATTGTTTCAAATCTTTAAGTGTTTCACCGTTTGCTCCGTTCATAAGAATACCTATTAATAATAAAGTAATATTTAAAATGTTCATTTTTTTTATTCAAATTTATTTCTCATTACTTAATGCGGAAAGTATTGAAATGGGAGACAATACATCGTTTCCATCCTTTGCTAATGTGTTAAATATATTGAATGTAAACTCATTGTTCGCATTGACGGCCAACTGATCCCAGGATTCAGTTTTGGACAATTCATTTGATCCCTGTTTCACAACTTCCAACTCACTGTCCGGTAATATTAATAACAATGCTAACAATAATTCACCAATCATTATTGATACTTGATGGTTAGAATGTCTTTAATAACAGTCAGTAAAATATTTATAAATTGAAAATTATTTCAATATCTAATACTACAGTACTATGTGTACAGAGTATTTTGACCAAAAATCCCCATAGAGTCCTATCGTAACGATATCTTTAAAAATGCAAATTTTTACAAAATTCGTAATAAAATCTCTAATGATTTAAATTATAATAAGGTTAATATGTAAGACTAATCTACAATATATGACAATTTAGTCGCATTCGATTTTGCACAAATCGTACTGTGCATGTCTAAGAAATTAAGCCTTGAATTATCTTATTTATTCTGTCTCACGAGTTATATAATTATGGCCAGTGCTTCCCGACCGGTAGTTAAAAGGACAAACACAACGGGATTTGATGTGTAAGATATCAGGTTATAAAATCATGTATTCAATTGAGATCAGTTATAAATTCAATTATTTAAAAAATAAAATACATGAAAATTTTGATTTTATGGTCAAAATACTTTGGACACATATTATATATACACTATTTTATTTACTGATAACATACAAGTCTAGAAAAATATTTGTCACTTATTTCTCGGCAATCATTTGTTTATATTTTGTATATACATGTAGTAAGAGATTTGTGAATACAAAAACAGTGAAATACGTCAATAATTGACAAAGAACATATATACAAAGATCTTAAATTATTTAAATAACATGCTTTCAATTCCAAGAACTCATACAACCCTTTCTAACAAAGATTAGGGGTTGTTCTCAAAGTACGTGCGCACTTTTTCGAAAATCTAGACCCCCTCCCCCCTTATGTTTGCACTTGTTCGCATTTAAATCATTTGATGAATTTAAGGGATTAATTTTTATCAGCGTTAATCTTTTGATAACAACTCTATCTAACAACTCTTCTTATTAATAACAGCTTTTATTCAAATTGATAACAAATTTTGAATAAATATATTACTTTTGATAAGAAATAACTTTCTCGGGGGGGGGGGGGGG